AATAATATCTCTCAGAGGCTTTTTTCCATCAGAAATTGTTCCTGAATTGGTTCTTAGAGAGATAAGATAACTTTAGCATTTGAAGAAAATGATAATTGTACTTAAATCCTGCTATGAGGGTAATGGTCAAGTGCTACTAAGTTTAGAATAAGAGTAAGGCTACCTAACTACAGAGAAATGTAACTTTAGCACTACATTTAATAGTACTGTATTCTTCAGACAATGCCCTAAAGACTATTAGACTGACAGGATTGTAAATTACTTTGGGCAGAGATGTATCATTACAAGACTTGGGTAAGATTGCTTCCTTCACACATAAGCACTTTTTTTTTACTCTACCATCCTGCCATACAAACAGAACATTATCACAGAATATATCTGGGAGGACATAAGCCAGCCTCTCCACTAGATATACTGCTTCAATTATTTTTACAGAAAGAAATGACTAATGAGAAGTACAGCATGTATTTCAGAGAAAATCTTCATTCTTTTCATTTTCCTTGCATAATGTATTATTTTCTCCAGTTAAGCACAGATAACATTTAGTAACTAGATTGAGGTGACAGAGCTATTTGCCAAGGATGAGCAGAATTTAGAGAGAATTTGTGAGTATTACTAGAAGTTGCTGTAGATCACTAAGACTAGTCACTTCTTAAAGATTTAATAGAATAATTTATTATTCTCACTGTGTCTTTTTCTAATGGGAAAGGCAGGTATGAGCTTTCCATGTAAAAGGGCAATTCTGGTGATGAAAATAATATTCTTGAGCTAAATATATGCTCAATGAATTCCTGGCCTCAATGCTTCCATTCCTTGAGCTATTGACTTTAAATGGTACATATTTAAGGTCTAATAAAAGCAAAATAGTTTCATGGAACTTGATATCTCCCTGTCTGGTATATATATAGTCAGTTATGGGAAATGACTTTTCTTTAATATTTCAGTAGAGAATTCTCAGAAGCTAAATTTGCAGTTGAAAATATGGATCACAGCTTGAAATACTGGGATAATTTAGATGTATTTTGTGCAAATCTTTTTTTTGGGTGAAGCAATAAGTAGTAAAAAGAGTTCAGGCCATCTGGTCTTCCAGTATTGCCAGACATTTACTGACACAGTAAAAAGATCCAAATACAATATATAAATCAATGGCTTTACAATTCATAAAATAATTATTGATTACTACAGATTTATAACTGAATATTGATAAACCTTTCTACTTTTTAAATTTTCAAATTGGAACCTGTTAGATCAAATTGTAATAACAATTTAAGCTCTTAAGATTCCAGGGGAAAATTCATGCAGTTCTGTCATATGGATATCAGAAATACTGTGGAAGTTAATCTGATATTTTTTATTATTCAGTATTTCAAAAACAAATATCTGTTTTACCAGAATATGTACATGTTTAATTCAAGTTAAATTACATGGTGCAAAAATTGAAAGTAGAAAGTCCCAAAAGCAGGCAATCTGCAGTAAATTAGTTAGTATTAGTTAAGGTTAGTTTCAGTATGGTGAGAGCATTCATATACATAAAAAAAGAATGTCCACAATGATGGTCCATAACTTTATGTAAGATTAAATGTTTTGTATCTGTGTTGCACCAAGTCATATCTGCCAATTAAATGAGGAATTACTTGATGTTTGCATTGTTTGTTTGATTTTTTTGTTATTACTGGAATATATTTTAATGTTCTTTCTGATAGGAGTTGGAAGGTTATTGATAATTAGAGAAATAATACATAAATATTTGGCCAAATAGTCCAATAGTATTATTTTAAATACAGATAATAAAAATCCACAAAATATCAGCACAACAAAGCAGTTAAAAACCAATTATTTTGAAGTATTTGGGGGATAAAAGGATTACATATATTGCAGAAACACACACTCCAGTCCATGATGCAAACTGTAGAAGATTTCCTTCTTAGAAAGAATTTAACACCACAGTGGTAGGCCAACACTCAGGTTATTCCAAACTCAGGTGTTAGTAGCATTGTTAAAACTGGATAGCAGGGCATAGAACTGTATGGAGTCATCATTGTCAAAAACAAAACAAAACAGAAGTTAAATACATTAGAGAACAAAGTTGAGAGGCTCTCAAGAAATCAGGATGACTGAAGCTTTGTTGTGCCAAATGCTCAAATTTTGTGAAAGTTGAAAGAAAGACACAAAAAGAAGACATTGTCACTGACCAAAACTCCAGGCATCAACTATGTGTTCCATATTTTTTGTGGAGATGTAACATAGGTCTTGTTGGCCTTCTACACTTCAAAAGGGTGGTAGTGGTGTTGATAAAATAGTTTTAATTTTAAACATCTCGAAAAACAGTTCTTGATTTTCAGCATCATTATATTTTGTAAAATGTTCTCAATGGCAGTGTTTCTCAACCGCTCATCTGGTGAGTCAATTGTTAAATTTTACTTGACTAATTCAGGAATAAAATCAAAAATATTATGAAATCTATTAGCAGTTTGCCTCATACTGAGCCATCAAAAGTAGGGGAGAAATGAAGTTTTCATGTTTTCTAGAAGACTGGTGAATTCTATGAAATCCTTAATGTAAATCCTTAATGCCTAAGAATATAGAAAAATATAATCAAATATTTACTGAAAGAATGATTGATATGAAGAAAAATATAGAGTTTAATGCTATGCCTAAAGTAGTTTTTCTTCCAATTTCATAAATATTGCATGTTTCCAACATATTACTGAGCTATAAGTTTGTATACTGAAAATCAGTGACCTTAAAACTGGCATCTTAAAAATCTGTGGAAGGACCCAATTATAATAAAAGGTCACTGGATGAAATTTCCATTGTAATTATGGTACACAAATTCCATATATATGACTTGCACAGGTAAAATATTCCGCTATCATTTCTTGTAATATTGAGAGAATTATGAGATTTTTTATTTTTTAAAAAACATAGTTTTAAAACCCTCTCAGATATATCTGAGAAGAAGGCTTAACCTTTTGTTAACCTTTAAAGTAACAAATTTATTTTAAAAATGCAGTGTATCATATGGCTAATTAAAATTACCCTGCAAAAATCTCATAAAAATCTCATGTGTGGCTTTAGTCAAACAAATCCCCCACATAATTTAAATATAGCAATCTCTTACTGTCCGCCAATGTTTTCTAGTGACTTGTAATGAGAATCAAAACATTAGAGTTCTTATACAGTACACAAAGAATAAATCTATACAGAAAGCTGACTAAAGACTCAGATTCATATGTTTGTCAGAGAATATAAATGAAGTCTCAGTCTTCTAAGGCAATGGTTCTCAACCTTTTTAATGCCACGACCCCCAACCGGTCGTAAGTCGAGGACTAAACCGATCGTAAGTCGAGGACTAAACCGGTCGTAAGTTGAGGACTACCCAACCGGTCGTAAGTCGAGGACTTTCCCTGCCCGGGAGCGCCACGCATGCGTGGTTCCACCCCCTGCACTGGCCGAGGCGTAGCTGGCAAGCGGCAGAGACGGAGCAGGCCGACCACCAGCTGGCCCAGCTCAAGGGAGGTAAGGCACCCGCCGGAAAAGGGGGAAAAAATGGCGGACAGCCTTGCTTGGCGACCCCCGTGAAATGGTCGATCGACCCCAAATGGGGTCGCGACCCATAGGTTGAGAACCGCTGTTCTAAGGTATAGAAACTGCAGCAAATGAGATTGAAAAGGTCTTATCACTATTGAGTTAAGATGCTATCTACCTTTTCCTGACTTGACCTAAACCGTGCTGATTTAAATCTGCTACTTAAATCTTTTCCAAGTTATTGTTGCATAGGAATGTGACATTCATAATAGCCAAGGAAACTAATTGTTTTGTTCATTTAATAATCCCTTTGTCTCCTTCTTCATATCACCAGCCAGTAGAGCGGGGGTGTCAAACTGTACGATGTCACATGACATCGCGACTTTGACATGTCTGCAGTAGAGGAACACCCACTAATCTGGGTACTTCTGCATGGATGAAAAAGATTTCTTAGAGTTTTTCAGTATAAAGTTTCATTTGTAACAATTACTGTTGTAATAAGAGTAAATATAAACAACTAATTTAAACTCTTCACATGGTAATATATATGGATATTATAACTTAGTAACTAGGCTCATGTGAAATCATATACTGTCCCAAGTTATAAAGGAACCTGAAAATGCAACCACAAACTCAACAAATATTAGTTGAAATGAATGTTTCTAATATTTATTTATTTATTTTTGTGCTGTCCATCTCATTATTCAAAGTGACATAGAAGAAAATTGTGCATCATCTCCATCTCTTTATTTTTTTATTCTTCCCCCCTTTTTAAAAAATTAATAAATAATTATAGAAACTTATGGTTAAAATAATATCAGAGAAACTAATATTATAGTCCATTTATTAATTTTGGGAAGATAGTTAAGAGAAGTAAGAAAATTATTATAGGTGATTTATTATGCTGTGACTTTTTATAAGCAAGTGGGCAGTGCTTATTCTTCCTTGTGTGATTCTCTATCTTTCTCCCCATTTGAGGATAATATTTTCTCTTTGCCAAAAATGTTTCTGAAAAGAACTATTAGAAAGAAGCAAAATAATAATCATACAATTATAGGTCAAAATTATTGACAGGTAAAGTTACAATTTTATGATATAAAGTTTATACCATGGTTTATAAAGTGAAAAATAGAGACTCTTATCTATTGGTTTCTTCTGAATGTTTTATCAAAGATATTTCTGTCTCTAGCAGTGAATTTTGTGTGTGCGTTTGAGAAAAATGACAATGTTGGCAGTCAGATGAAATATCTGTAGCACCACTTTCTCCTAGAAACTAAAAATCATGTTGTTTTAAGATATGATCTATGCATAAATCAGAATATAGAGTGTGAGAGACTGAAGTGATAATCTGCAGACAAAGAGCCAATTTGTCCCTATAATACTTCCACCAATATTATGCATTATTACATATGATCTCCCTATCTCTCTTGATGCTGCATTTTAATTCAGGTGTGCAACATGCTTATTTTCAGACATTAATATGGCAGGGGAGCCAAAACCATACAGACCTAAGCTGGGAACTAAGCGACCACTTTCTGCTCTCTACAGGTAAGATGACCGATTGATTAATGAACCTATGAAGTGTTTTTGAAGTTTTTAGTGTTTTTGAAGTTTTTAGTGAATGTTTCTTGGTAAAATATTCTCCCTTGCTTGCATATCTGACCATTCGGATGCCCCTTGGCAGAGAAGTCTTGCTAGAAATAAATGGTGCCAACTCTTAGCATTCTCTTCTTCTTTTTTTAGAACTTGCAGCTTAGTTTCAATCCAAAACCTTTCTTGCCATGTTTCTTTCAGCCCTTTTCAGGACTTCTCCACCTAAATCATATATACAGGATGCCCACCGGCACTATTTCCTTAGCCCTTTATTAAGCAATAAGATTGATATTTCTGCAAATTGCCTAGAGTTTGGCTGATTTCAAGCATTAAAGATATGTTTTACAAATTAAATAATAGCAATAGCACTTAGACTTATATATTGTTTCATAGTGATTTACAGCCCTGTCTAAGCAGTTTACAAAGTCAGCATATTGCCCCCAACAATCTGGATCCTCATTTTACTGACCTCAGAAGAATGGAAGGCTGAGTAAAACCTTGAGCCAGATAGGATCGAATTCCTGACAGTGGACAGAGTTAGCCTGCAATACTGCATTCTAACCACTGTGCCAACATGGCTCTTATCTAAAGCTTCAGCTTCTTGTCACCTGAGTGAAATCTCTATATGCGATAGGGGATCTTGTTTTATCAGAGTTGCGGCCACACATAGAGTTCTTCAGATATTTGAGGCAATGCAATTTCAGTTAATTACTCTGCACTCCAAACATTTCATAAGATAGGTCAATTCAACATAAGTTTGAACTGCCTGATAGGAGGCTATTATTTATTTTACCTACTCATGAGTAAGAGTGGCATAGACATGTTAGATAACTTGCTAATTAGGCAAGAAATAGTGACCAACTGCTAGTAGCTACCTCTTTCACCTTCTAGACCTCTCTTTTGCACTTTTCATTTTAGAAGAAAGAATATTTGAGAGCTCATATGAATTATTTGGGTCTCTAGGCAACTGCTTTTAGTATAGGTACTCTTTGCTTAAAGCTCCCAGGGTTACTGAGTCTCAGAAATAATTTATTTTGATGCAATTTTACATTTAAAAAAGTTCTACAGTTTAAAACAATATACAAAGACCTTTGCTGACCAATGGGCCTCTGTAGCCAGGGGTATTTCAAAAGAGTCTTCCAAGCAGCTATTCTATTAAACTTTCAGGAATGCATCTGTTAGTTTATAACACACTAAACATCCTAGCATCAGATCATTTCATCAACTCTCACGTGATTTTGTATTCTAAATAACCCCTCCAATCTTTTGCAGTAAAATAATAATAAAGGTACTTGAGCAGATGTTCACCATGTCACCCCAGACACATTGAATATCTGGATCCATTTCCATCTGATTTACAGATTGGATTTGGCATTGATAATTTAGACACCCTAACCTAAAATTCATCCAGTGGAGGGAAAAATAAAATAAGGCTTTTGTATAATTCTCCTAATATTTTTTCAATACAGTCTTCTCATATACCCTAAATAACAACAGGGATGCTGGCCAATATAATTATGTTTATGGTTATTACTGAAATGTTTATTAAATCAGTTATTATTGTTCCAAACTGAAGGAATGGCATATAATTGCTTCATAAAGATGATCATTTACATAGCTAAAGGAGAGGACAACAAAACTGGTTAAATTCCAGCTCACCAGTTTCTGCCCAATTCTGCTGTGCTACAGATCATCCTGTGATGCTGCCATAGCCCTGCAAGTTTAGGTCTGAAGATGGTTAATTGAAAAAGTCAGAGATCAGATCTGAATCAAGCCAAGCTAAAACAACAAATGGATGTATTTCTCTCCTTCAGAAGAAGAGAGGCAAATGTGTTTTGAGGCCAGAAGCAACTATAGATCAGGTTCCAAAAGAAACAGCAAAAGAAATCTGTAGCGGGGTCTAGCAATTAATGCTTTAGTGCAGTGTTTCTCAGTCCAACTTTAATGCTTACTTGGGAATTCTGGGCGTTGAAGTCCACACAGCTTAAAGTTTCTGAGGTTGAGAAAACACTGGTCTAGATTAAAAGGGGGATGGGTAACAATAGCATGAATAAATTTTGTAGTATTGCTGTTCATGAAGAATGCTGAGAAAGTTGAGTTGCTGAGTTACCATGGATACTACATGCATAAATATCACCCTAAGAGTATATACTCTCATATACCAATTTGACTTCAACATTTTTATTTTAGCTTCATAACACCAATTTATTAATTTAAAGAACAATTTAAATGAAATGCCAATAGATAATTGTGTCTCTCTCTTGCCTAAGATTTTTTTGAAATAATTTACTGTATCACTACAAATCTCTTGAAACCATTTACACTCAAAGAGGGTCAAACTAAGGGCAGCCATATTTTGAGCAAATTGATTCTCAGTTCATAAGAATGGATTTCAAATAGTTTTTAATGATAGTGTTTTATCCATAGGCCATCACACATAAACTATCTCTTCTTTTTTCCCAAGGAAATGTATACCCAGTTGCATTTATTAGCAACCTAGTGAAATTTTATCATTTATCATTATATATCTTTAAAAGTGTTGGTTTGATTATCTTCTGGAAAAGTTATTTATATTTCATTTCCCACCAAAGAGTTCAAGATCTCTTTGACCCTCACAATAACCCAGAGAGATAAATTAGAATATTAGACTGTTTCAAAGTATCTTTCAAAATTAATGACAGGATCCTGGATTTTCTTGGTCATAGGGAACAAGTCAACAGAAATAGTTACTTCTACCTCTGCTAGCAAGCAGACAGAGCTTTTAAATTGTAATTCCGTAGAAAAAAGCAGTGTCCTTCAGGGGAGGGAGGGAGGGAGAGAGGAAGGAAGGAAGGAAGGAAGGAAGGAAGGAAGGAAGGAAGGAAGGAAGGAAGGAAGGAAGGAAGGAAGGAAGAAAGGAAGGAAGGACTTCACCAGCTGCAGCTGAGATGGCACCATGGACAAGCCAAGGTTATCTGCTGATTGGATAAGCTGATCTGGGAAATGACAGATCTAGCAATGGTAATAAGAAAATAATTTTATGGAAAAAAATTATCAGTGAAGAGATTGTAAGGAAGAGGGAAGATTGAAAGAATGAGGAGAAGCTCTGTAGTCATAGTCAAGGTCTCAGGCTCCAAGAGCTCTAAGCGGTGCAAAAAAAATCTTTATATCTTGTGAGGGGACCAGACACAAGCTGCTCCTTTCAAAATCATGGTTCTGAAATGACCAGAATGTTAACTTGGATTGTTGGGATACTGGGCCTTTGTGAGACCTTGAATCCTGGAAAATATAAGGTCTTTATCTTGTGTAACTACGGCATACAATGTAAACCTTGTGCCATGCATTATTATTTTTTCAGCAAATTTAACTATTTTTGTTATTTTATTTAACAGACTTGAATCAAAAGAACCTTTCCTTTCTGTTGGGTGAGTAAGAACATTTTTATTTAATTTTAGAAAAAAATAGCTATAATTATATCTTTCAGTAGCATTCAGCTACTCAAAGGAATAGTGGTAGCATTTCATTTACTTTTGGAGAATCTTCAGTAATGATTAGAAAAATATAATTTAGGCAGACTATCTTTTTCAGAAGTGTTCAGTTACAGGTAGTCCTTGACTTATGACCAACCCATAAAACACACATACAGCAATTGTAAAATGTGCGCCCCCCCCTCCACAGTCAGATGTCCGCATTTTGGATGCTTAGCAACCAGCCCGCATTTATGACTGGTTGCAGCATTCCATGGTCATGAGACAGCAAATTGCAGTTGCTGCAACTGATCCATTTAATGGCCACCACAAAAACAGTCATAAAATTGGGTCCAGTCAAGGGCCTTGACTTATAAACACCATGATTTATGATCAAAATTCAAATCCCAATTGGAGTGCCTATATACATAATAATGATATAGTATCATTTCCAATTGCTTTTGTGTCTAAAGAATAGCCTATCAAAGAATCAACAGAGATCCTGATTATTTATCAGTATTGTTATCACAACCTAAATAACATAAATACCAGATAGTCCTCGACTTATTATGATAATTGGGACTGGAACTTCCATCTCTAAGCAGTGCGGTTGTTAAGTGAGTCATCATGTGACTGTGCCTAATTTTACTACCTTTACTGTGGTTGATAAGTGAATCTGGCCTCCCCCATTAACTTAGTTATTAGAAGCCGGCTGGGAAGGCCACAAAAGGCAATCATACGATCCCAGGACACTGCAACCATCATAAATAAATGCTGGTTGTCAAGCAGCCAAATCACATGATGATGGGGCACTGCAGCAATTGGCAAGGGCCAATCATAAGTTCAGCACCATTGTTAACTTTGAACAGTCACTAAATGACTGGTCTTAAGTCGAGGCCTACCTGTAGTGGTTTTATATAGATAGTCTATGGATATGGAATCTGGATCTTTGTGAAACTGCATTCTCATCATTCCTTGGACAGAAATCCTAATACATATAACAGCTCTTTTCTTGCAGATGATCTTCTGAACAACAAACTTTTCAGTGAAAAGCTGACCAAAACTCACTAAAAATAATTCTCCAATTTAGTTTTGTAAAAAACAGATTGTCAAATCTGTCAATGGTATGGAAAGTCTGTAATTACCAGCAGAGGTAGAGTGGGTGGTTTCTAGGGTTTTCGTTTATACATATATTTTAAATGCTTCTGATGTGGACCTCAAAATAACTATGCTTAAGAATGAACAAACAACAGCCAGACAGATAAAAATACACTTAACAGATGCTGTGGAAAGATGTTAGATTGAAGTGAGCTAACATATAAGTTAAAAACATTTTCTCCACTTCCAATTTTATTCTTTCCTTTCCTTAGCAAGTTAATTGTGATCAAATGGACATTTCAGTTTTTGGAATGAAATAGTTCTAGAAGAATCTGCAACTTAGATGTTTATACCGCTTAATTTTGATTATGTAAATCAGCCTTCTCCAAATTGACATCTTTACCTTCTTGTGGGTGAAAAAAATATCTTGTTAAGGATTCAGTTATAAAGTGTACGTCATCAGGATGAAACTAGTCCATTTTTGTGTATTTGAAAATCAGTGTTCCATTTTGAATGGGTTTTAGCTTTAATCCTATACCACTAAGGGAATTGAATTGTCATTTTAGAGTAATTTTTTGTAATCAAGTGCTATCCAGATGTAATGGATTTCAGTTCCCAAAGGTCATGCTTGCTAACTAAGATTTATGCGAAATTCAACACATCTGGAGGACACATCATTGGAAGGCTCTAACAGGAAAGAATATAACAAGTTTTCACAAGAGAATCATGCCTCTATCTTGCTTAAAAGACTTGTCCAGTAGTATAATGCGCTAAACTGCAGATTTTCAGACAGTGCTCAGATTCTGTTGATTAGGAGTTTCAGGAAATTTGTTGTATAATATCTCATCAGTTCTCCCAGCTGAGTGCATACCTAGTATAATTTTTTTTATCATATTGGCTGGAGAGATAATTAATTGTATTGGGAGAACTGTCCAATACATCAGGAAGATATCATTCGGAGAAACAGCAATATAACATGTGAAGTTATAGTAATAATAATGCCATCAATATGAAATAAAATTAGATTATGCCAGCTCTTAGCAACATTGGCATATTTCTTGGAAAACTGCTGCTACTTTGAAGCATCCTTCATGTAATTTTCTTATAAATATATTCATTTACCTTTTATGTCATTAGATAGCACCCCTCCAGTTGATCTGAGACTTTAATTTTCCATTTTGATTGGGAATTCCCAGAAACTGCATCTCCAAGTAATTAAACTTTACCAAGGAGCAAAGGCAATAGCAAATAGCTATTGTTTTCAGAATAATTCTTGCTTTCCTGTAACATGAAATTCCTTTTCAGATGACAAACTCCAAGATCTTAAGCCTTTGAAGACCCTCAGGGCTTCCTACTGGAGGCAGAGCTTTTCTGATATCTACTAACCTCCCATCATGCCTATATTTCTCAGAAACCGAGTCCTTAAAACCAGTTAGGAGAAGCAAAGAGTGACAAACAAGCTGCCAAACTGTATACTTTGCCTCAAGAAGCCCGTTGATGTTCCCACAGCAGCACATTTTAGATCTGTAGAAAATGAAGACAAGGAAAACCTCAAAGACCCAGATGTCAAGATGACGGAAATCCTGCAGTGCAAACTTTTTCTGAAATCTTTATGCTTTGGAAGAAGAAACTGATTTATCTGTTTGGTCTAGAGCAGGGGTAGTCAACCTTGGCTCTTTTATGACTTGTGGACTTCAATTCCCAGAATTCCTGAGCCAGCTTAGCTTAGTTGAAGTCCACGAGTCATAAAAGAGCCAAGGTTGACTACCCCTGGTCTAGAGGAAAGAACTTCTGCAACAGCAGCCTCCATTCGCAAAATCCTAAATTTCCTGTGGCTGGATGTTCAAAAGTTGTAATCAAGCATCTTTCACAGATAGGTGCCAACCTCTCCTCAGTCCTAGTCCCATGGAGCCCCAACCTTACTCAAGGAGCCAGAACCTAAAGTATAACAGAAAAAAATGGGATGCCAGGGACATACTTTTTACACCAGGAATAAAAGGCTTTATAAATTATTGTAGTCAATGTTGCCCATTTCTATTTTCTCTTTCTCTCGATTGTAACAAGTTATGCATTAGACGTCCTTAGGCTTTATTTTGACTTCAGATTCAAACTTCTAGTTACAATCTTGATGGGTTTCATTTGATGGCGGTCCATTTTCTCTGGATGCAGAGTTTTCCTAAAAGTGTTTTTATGCCGTAGTAGAATGAGAATATTATCTTTTCCCTGCTTGAAATAGAAATGTACAATTCTGCAAAATTCAATCTGGGATAATTGCAGCTCTTCACCATGAGCAAAATAATATAGTGAGCAGTACATTGCATGATTGTAGATGAATTAATAGTTTTCATGTCTCTGATATTCATGGAATCCTTTGTGTGAATATTTAATCATGTACAACAGGGGTCCCCAACCCCTGGTCCATGGACCAGCACCGGTCCATGATATGCCAGCAACAGGGATGTGCAAATAAGTGAAGCCCCATCTGCGGGATGCAGGCAGCATGCAAAACCGCATCCCCTCTGATCCACCGAAAAACCTCTGTAGACGTAACTGGTCCCTGGTGCCCAAAAGCTTGTGCGCTGCTGATGTACAAGAACTAAATAGTGCAAAACAAATGAGACTTTACTTAGGTTGGAAAGAATCATTATGTTTTGCTTTATAATGTGTCAATTAATTACAACTACTGTTAGCTTGTTGCAGATTAAGTGCTATTTATCATTGGCAGCAAAAATAATCAAGATTCTTATGACTTTTAACAAATTCATCAAAAAAAATATTTTGGTTGAGTTATGTAGGACTGTATCCAATTATTTTTTCTCCCTAAGAGAGCATTTTTCATTAAGATAACTTGTTCATCTCTCTATAGTCCTTTTACATGTAAAGTAGGAAATTGGGGACTATCCAGAGCAGATAGAGTAAGGACTGGAAATGGCACAGGGAAAGAAAGAAAAGAAAAGTTCTATTATATAAAAGGAAGACTGATTGCACATTGTTGGATTTTATTTGTTGCATTTCTCCCTTCCTCCATTGCAGCTCCATGCCAACTGTCTTCTTCCTAACCCATAGTAATGAGAGAGCCTGGGAGTTACCACTTGGCTCAGCACAAGGTTGAAAAGCTCAGAAAAGGAGCTAGCTAAGCAACAGGAGATTGCTACACCAGCAAAATCCCTAACTTGCTTGTATGTCCCAACTCCACATACAACACCTCATGTCCAGCCATCTTTGTAAGAACAGATGTAGACACTATCCGTTTTCCACAGAATTGTCTATGAATTTTGTCCACAGCTAAGAAAAATCATTCAGAAGAGTTCAGTAAAATATAAAACAATATTTTTTAAGATACACAGTTTTGTGGCAGTTTTGTATACTTATTGATAATAAAGAAAAGCTTGTCATCCTAGTGCAACAAAAGAAGTTTGGGCTGCAAAGGTACCTGACTGTGTCCGAGCACAGATGGTGAACTGGGTCAGAACTAGTTAACATTTGAGTGGAAATCCAAGAGTATAGGTTAGACTAGGAAGACAGGAAACATCCTAGAAGAAGGCAGTGACAAAGCACTTTGATGCATGGATGCGTTTCTGAACTCACCAGGAGCTGAGCCCAACCTAAAGGAGACTTTCCTGAATATTATTATATTACCTTGCTTTATAGTAATAATAGGAGAAAAGATTCATGTTAGCCAGTGGCTATATTAGAACTTTTTTCCCCATCCTTGTTTGCCTATTCTTGTGTTATTTCTCATTTTATCATTTTAAGGTTGCCAGAGTGTCAACGCTGCAAATACTGTATATTCTTGCTTTGACAATGTGCAGAACTGTCTGGTATATATATATAGTTAAACCAGCAACTAGGAAAGTGGGAGGAGCATAAGGATAGCCCGGGAGAAAGAAACCGGAAGTAAATCACATCTTCCAAGTTGATTGGGAGATGTGAACCATGACCCTACAATAAGGGAGTGGAAAATGTATGGAATGTTTTGCGTAACGGAAGAGAAGTAGATCTAAGCATTCCACCATGCTGTGCTGACGTATTGTGACATTAATAAATGCTTTTAGGAGAAAACATGCCTGAAAGTCCTTTTAAGTGTTTCGTTACTCAGACACATGACACAGAGTTTAGGACAGGAAATTTAATTAAAAAGATATGACTGCTATGGATGAGGTGGGATAAATACTGTTTTCTGGTACTATAGAAAAGACAAATATTGTCATTATATTTGTGAACTTACTGTATGTGCATTTAAGCAAACTTATTCTAAGTAACTTTTTCTGTGTCCAAGGAAGCTTCCTCTTGAATCTGTATAAAATAAATGTATTTTAAAAAAGATTATTCCATATTTTAAAAAATAACAATAGTCGGGCAAATCAGAAAAAAACATTTTAATTCAATCAAGTCATTCTTCTACAAGTGGGCAAATTGGGCAAAATTGGTATGGAAGAGAACAGATAAAAATTCTAATTCCTGCTGCATGAATGGATTAAGGCTGAAACAAAATGTATGGAAAATTCAGCAACCAATTTGTTTGGAATTAAAGCACGGACATCTGTAGGGCTTGGAAAGTGTGAAGACAAAAGACAAACGCTGTGATTTGCATACCTGTCTGACATCAAGTTGTAAGCATATAATTATGGCATTTGTGTGCTGATGTCATCAGGTGCACATCATTTTGGCAACATTTGCTGTAAATGTTACTGTGAAGCCTGTCTACAAATAAATGGGACAATTCCACATAGCGATAATCTGAGGAACTCAACATTTTGAAATTTAAAAGAATTCAATGCAGTAATCACTCCATAAGAAATAAGGAAGTTGCATCTGTCTATTATTATATATAATAACTGTAGACTGTAAATTGTATACGGATGTGAATTAGGCAAATAATGCATCATATTATGCTCTTCAGTTACTACCAATGGGACAGTCATTTTCTATTATGATTCAGAAAAATTACCATCTTGGTTTTCAACTTTATGTTTTCACCTACTTCGTCCTTATTTTTCTTATTTTCTATTTTTATTATCATAGAAAGAGAGGAAAGGGGATGTGTTATTCGACAGGATTTTTCAAAAGAAAAAAATGCTTCATTTTGGAAGTTTATACAATTAGCTTGGGGTTTTTTTTAGAGAAAAGGAGGACTAGGGGGGACATGATAGCAGTATTCTATTATTTGAGAGGCTGCCACAAAGAGGAGAGGGGTTTATTATTCAAAGCACCAATGGGCACGACAAGAAACAATGGATGGAAACTAATCAAGGAGAGAAGCAACCTGGAATTAAGAAGAAACCTCCTAACAGCAAGAGCAATTAACCATTGCCTTCAGACATTGTAGGTGCTTCATCATTAGAGGTTTTTAAGAAGAGACTGGACAGTCACTTGTCTGAAATGGTATAGGGTCTCCTCCTTGAGCAGGGGGCTGGACTAGAAGACTTCCAAGGTCTTTTCCAACTTTATTCTGATTCTGAGTTGAGAGCAAATGACTTGGCCAAAGTCACCCAGCAAGCTTTAATGCCTGGGATGGGATTAGAACTCACAGTCTCATGGTTTCTAGCCTGGTGCCTTAACCATTAGACCAAACAGAGATATAAGTCCTTATTGTGATTCATGTCTTACAAATTATTATTAACTAATATAATTTGCCTCATCTCTTCATGGGACTTTTCTTTGCTCTTCTTGCAGTGGTTATGTCTTTGATTATGATTATTACAGAGATGATTTCTACAATCGGTATGTGTATCTTTGTTCCTGCCTTTGGATATATGAACTGCATTTTTTATTTATTATAAGAGGTTGGGAAGAGAGCATTAATTTTCTCAGGAAATCATCAGGAATTGTGAGAAAGTTGAACTGGGCCTATGAAAAAGGCTTTTTAGATGACAGGATAAGCTTGCTTCAGTGTATATGTTGATGTACATTTTTAATAATCTTAATTATAGTTAAGTTTAAATATCCTTAAATAAATTAAATACTTATAATTAGTTATTTATATGTAAAACAGTTTTTTTCAATGTAATAAGCTGTCAGCTGTTGTTGTTTTACCTTTTGGACAAGGTTTCCACTCAGCCAAACTGATGGGAAATCTGTGTGCATATAAATATTAGTACAGAATATTAGTACCATTATGGAAAAATATAAGCCAGGCTACTTAGATGTATTGCAACATTTTTCAAACACATAAACTATAAATCAGAAATACATTATTTCTGTATTGGCATCTCTGGTTGATTTATCATATATATGTAGATCATTTGGGGGCATGTTTACCCATAAGCAAATCTAACTTGTTCCAAGAAGGTATGCACAGAATTGTAATAGTTATCTAATGGCAACCATATATTTAAAACTAAGATGATTTGAAGTTGGTGGTACAATATCAGTGCAAGGAAAGCTTTTCATTCCCATAAATAGTTAACATTTAGTTAGAAGTTAATGGGACTGTATCAAGGAAAGACATTTATCATTCTCCCAAATACTTGAAGTTCTTATCATTCTTTTAATGAGTTAGAAGTACTGTTTATTTGTGAAGATGTTTCAGTTCAGTTAGGTGCTCTTTATATGTATATGATATCTGAGAATACTGGGAATTGCAGTCCAAACACTCTGCAAGGGAAGGTGGAGTTGCTTTTAAGAGTTTCATAATTAGTTGGCTGAAATAAAATTATGTAGAGAAAAATTTTCACATTACAGTAAAGACAGTTTAGTAATGATGTTCGTCATGGAAAAAAACAGCAACACATTGACTGTAATGAAATATAAATATGCTTATTGATGAACTCTTGAAATCTAATATAACTCTGATTAAACCTTTTGAGATATTAAAGGTCCATTTTCTCATAAGAAAGAGCAGAATTTAATATGCAAAATCCTACCTAATATAAAATTACAATTGAACATTCCAAAACTATTTCTATTTCTCTTAAGGTTATTTGATTATCACAGCCGGGTTCCTGCCCCACCTCGTGCTGTGATTCCTTTGAAACGCCCACGAGTAACAGTCACAGCAACTCGCAGAGGAAAGGGAATCTTTTCCATGAAAGGGACATCAAGGTCTACATCAAGTGGAGCTTCTTCATCAGGAGCAAAATGTGAGTTCATACATACATTGTGAACTAACTTCTTTAGTTTTAAAAATAACCAAGGGTAATTAGTTGTACAGGTGCCATTTCTCCCTCCCAAAAATGTTTGTTTATTAGCAGTGGATTCTTTAATTAATAAAAGATGTGTTCCTCCTAAAAGAAATAATATTATATCATTTTATTTTTGCTGTTCTATTCTTTTTTCACTTTCAGTGAAATCAGATGAATTGCAGACAATCAAGAAGGAATTAACGCAAATCAAAACAAAAATTGATTCTTTGTTAGGAAGACTGGAGAAGATTGAAAAGCAGCAGAAAGCTCAATCAGGTAAAAGAAAATTGTCTATAACTCTTAGTAACACATTAAAACATGAATTAATCCACTGTAAAATCAATTATATTCTTATTCAAGGTTGGGTGTGAGTACCAGTGAAAGCTTTAAGATGTTTAAGGTTTAAAATATCGAGTTTAAATTAAGGTGTTTTAAGTTTTCCTCAATTTTAGGATTAGATGTACACCTAAAATTAAAGAAAACCTTAAAAAGTCTTATCGTGATCCACCAAGTTAAAGTTAAATTCAAAAGGCAATTTATTTTGAAACTTGCTATCTTAAAATTTCTAGCATGTTTTAAAGTTTGTAAGGAATATGCCAATGAAATGGAAGAAAGGATAGACATACCTTTCGCATTGTGTAATAATGTAAAAATATGAATTAAGACAAATATTCGTGTCCCAGGATGAATCCAGTCTCAGTCAGTCATCGGAACCAAAGAACTTGTGTCAGAGCCCATCCTCAGGGAACTTCTCTCTCACCAGAATGTTCTGGTAAGAGAGAAGTTCACTGGGGATGGGCTCCAGCACGAGTCCAAAGACTCCAGCTTGGAGAGCTAAACCTCTGGTCCTGGCAACCAACCCAGATTGGATGTATTTATAATCTACGGTCATAGGAAAACTGTGCTTTTATTGAGTGTTACTGCTGAATAGAGGAGTAGATAAATAGAGGTAAAGAAGGAATCACATTAACATTACATGTGTGTCTAAGTAGATGTGAACTCCAGTGAATTAAAATTTAATCTCAAATAAGCAGAAGAAACAGCCAAATGTTTTGGAGAAACCCTATTGAAGGACTGGCCTGTCATGAAATCTTTTCTTCTTGACTTTTTTCTTCTTGATTCATGAAACTGACAGAGTCAAGAAGAAAAGATTTCATGACAGGCCAGTCCTTCAGTAGGGTTTCTCCAAAACATTTGACTGTTTCTTCTGCTTATTTGAGATTAAATTTTGATTCACTGGAGTTCACATCTACTTAGACACACATGTAATGTTAATGTGATTCCTTCTTTACCAAAAAAAAGAAAAAGAAAGAAAGCATATGATGTCTTGTACATTTTTTAATTAATTCCTGTTGGACTTTTTGCAAGACAGTGCAAAAAAACTGTTCTGTGGTCCGGTTGAATAAAAAAATGGGAACAAGTTAGCTAAATAATTCAACAGAATAAAATAAAATGGAAATAGAGAAGGAATGAAAGAAATATCCAAAAGTGAAACAGTTCACAATTAAAACTAAATAAGATACCTTTGTGTATCCTTTACTAAAATCTTTAACTCAGTATCTCTTAAAAAAATCAATGCCACAGCGGTAATGGATAAAAAGAAGGCTTTATATTTATTTTTTATGTTTGCAATGGCTATTCAAAGTTTTTGAATTACTCCAAAATAGAAAAGTAATTTTAAAACAAAGATTTCAGAGCAAATAAAATGTCAACTTTTCCAATCCTATCTCCCAAAATAAAAAAGAATTGCTCTAAGGTATAACTGTAAATATGTGGAAGTGAAGCTGGGATTATATCCCTTTATTATGTATACAAATGAATAAGTCTTTGCTTATAGAACATATTTAAAATAGACCTTTTCTAAGAAGTTACTCTTTAGTCACCATTGTCATTGTTGAGGTCACCAATTTGTTCAATAACTTTTTTTGTACTATTTTATTTTCTTTCCAACCATTTGCTCATGGCAGTTAACAGAATTATTTCCCCTTGGACTGGATTTAACCAGAATATTATACAATTTTTCTCCAAAGCTCATCTCTGCTTGTCTGTTATTACTATTCATTAGAGTATAACATGCAACTATTATCCATTTGTTATCTCAACTTTCATTGTCTCTAGATGATAGAGAATGGGCCCCTATGCTAATATATTGTCTACTCCCTTCTATTTAATCAATGTCTGTTAAATTAATTAACTCTGTGGTTTAATTGATAAATGTGCTCTAAATTATATGAGTAGTCCTTTATTCTGATAGTTTTTAATAATCCGTAAACGTGAAAATGCCATGCAAAGGGAATGATATGATAATTTTGTATATTCCAGAAATCCAAAAGAAACAAATAGAAGACAGTATAGAGTTGATCCAAGAAGAATGCATATCAGAGAATGCTGACAACTCTACAGAAGAGCCTATTGAAGGAGGGCTGGATGGGGACGGAGAAGAAATGACAGATGGGATAGACGAAGATTTCGATGAGGAGGGTAGCAATGAGCTGGTAAGGTATTACAAGTGTCCAATGTACAGTAAAGAAAAGGGGAGACAAAATAGCAAGAGGTGGCTATCATGTTCCATCTTCCAATTTAATCTGTAGTAGTAGAGTGATTATAACCACTGTTAATAAACATTCTCTGGAATATCCAGAATACATTAAATCACTTTTTATTGCTTTATAATCTCCATTTTAAGATAATAGGAAATGAATTTTATACTTTTAATGCAACTCTTTACTTCTTACGAGGATAGGATTTTCAAGCATTATTCCAAAGGTTAAGTAAATAATATCATCTTCCTTCAAAAAAGGTTACTGGTTTCATAGCTATGGATAATTCCTCTAAAACCTCTAACCTAACCCAGCAATTGTATCTCTACTGAATAAATCGAATATCAAGAGCTTACGTTGACTATAATGCCAATAAGTACTTTGGAATAAATGAAACTAATTTTTAAATTCTGTGTATTAAAATGACTTCCTTAGATGTAAGTTGATCCAAAGTAACCTCGTATCAGGTCTACTTTACACATGTTTAAAGTTTATTTTTAAACTGAGATTATCCCATTGCACCAGCTTTTCACAAGTAACCATGAAAACATGTTTTATATGCTGTATGTGTCCTGCAAAATTAAAAATGAGTGTTGAACCTGATCCCTGTGCAAACAGCCATTCAAGTAGCCAGGATTTCAGTGGGGTGAATAATATCTCCTAAACTGAGGAGCTAAGAGGAGTTAAGTTCTAAGATTCTTATTCCAAAACTGACGAAAGCTAGCATGAACCACCCAGAGTCACTGGGACTTGGGCGGCATATTAATTTAAAATATTATTATTAGTGATAAATCTGAAAAATGTGGAAAATTAAATACACATTTCTCAGCTGATACCTATAATGTATACAATATACACTCAAGATGTGTTGTCAAACCTGAAAATTAATTTAAAAATATAATGATGGAATAAATTTGGTGAATCTCACAAAATATATTCATTGCAATCACATATTTCTTATCCCAGATGCTCAGAGGAATTCTGAGCCATCTGTCTATCTGCGAGAAAAAGAGATAAGTATAGAGTTCCCAATAAAATGTTTTTTAAGTAGAAGAAAGATTTGCAGTTACAAATCATTGCATTCCTCTGCCACCTCCTCCTTCTACCCCAGTGTTTTTGTAGTTTGTTATTTGCAGCACCTTGATACACTGAATCATTCACAAAGCACTGACGTCCGATTTGATGCTATTTCCTGGGGATGCTGCTTTGCCTCATTAAACTACAGATTTGCCTTTATTCAAAATTTAGAGTTGAGCCAAATCCAACACACTTTGCCAAAATAGTATTGGCTCATCTCTTATTGATGGCCAAAGAAAGTGTGCACTCTAATCAGCATCTAGGAATAAAGGAAACTTCATACAGAGATTTGGGAGTTGTGGGTGCGTGTATGTGTGAGAATAATGTGTTCAGTCACATGATACTTCCCTTCATGTCTGCATTTTTTCCTTTAAACCGTCTTCTACAACAAAGCAGTTTTATGGAGTTCTCCAAATTTGCAAGCCTCTTTAACAAGAGAAGAAAGCAAGTTGGCCAAAAGGGAAGGATAAAGGGGATGATACTTTTCTATCATACTGATCTTGCCTTCTAAATACTGTTCACAAGTATGAAGGTGCCAAAAGTTGGAGTACCATCAACAATATTTGAGGTACCAAAGCACAGAAAGATTATGGTGGAATCTGGTCTCCGTTTGTGAATCTTGAATGTATAAGGCTGTCATAGGCGGAACTGCAATTAGCCTTGTGGAATAGCAGTCATATAGCTTCTGCTTCTGAATAAGGATAGGGCTATGTTCCTTTTCTCTTGTGAATGGCTGCTGGCAGCAAAAATAAGGAGCTTAAAAGAGTTCAGCAAGGTCTTACCTCCATGAATAGCTTGAACTATTTTATAGCTGTAGGAGAAGTAAAACACAAAGTCATCAGATTTTGTAATTGTAACCTATGATGAGCACTATGCCTATGCAATGTTAATGTGATTCTGAAAAAAGCAAAAAGATTCTCTTTAAAGAGTTTTTCAGGAGCAAATTGTTACATGGAAAAAGATTTAAAGATCAACTGAACAGATACAAACAACTAGGCAAAGCGGTTGTGTCAAGAAAATTTTTCCAGGGGTGCAGAGTCAGTCTGCTGCAATTATGAAAGAACCTAAGCCTGGGGAAGCATTCAAATTGGCCTGCAAAATGTGAAGATGTTATGGGGGATGGATGTACTTTCTGCTCCTATTTAGCTATCAGTGACAGAATCTATAGCCAGAGACTTCTGCTATTGACATCACTATCCTACTAATTGGTCTTCTACACCAATAGTGCCTTTTCTTTACTCTGCGCCCTCTTTGCTGACTTGTTAGAGAGGGCCAATATTTTATGGATACTACTATTTCAATGCTTACAGTAACCTTAATAAGAAATTTAATATCCATCATATCTCCCCTATTGAAACTAGCTTGAAAGCATTTCAATTGCATATTTTAAATGGGGCAAATTAAAGCATAATGACTTTTTTGTTGAGTTATTAATGCAAAGCAATAGACATATATACTTGGGCATAGCTGTTCTGATTGTAATGGAATTCGCTTTCAATTAAGGTGTTAGACTGACAGTTGCTGCAAGGGTTTATAGCCAGCAGGAATGTATGGCAGATTATTTCCTGAAGATGGTGGATGAAATTTTAAATCAGTATAATGTTTGATTTAATATATAAAAGTATATAGCTACTGGGATTTCAAATTTTAAGTGTCCCCATGTTTTTGAAGCTACCCTTGAAGAAAATGTGTGGCCTTATTGTTATTTCTTTTATCTTGCAGCCATTCTGAATTAAAATATAGAGATATCTCCCTTCTCACTCCACTCTATCTAGTACATAGATATAAGCACACACAAAAATACTGGAGGGGAAAAGATTTGAACTGACACTAATTCAATACTGATTCCGCTCCCTAGGAAGGGATGAAAACAGGAGTGACATCCTCATTTTTCAGCATCTGATATATTTTTTTTAAGTGAGAGAGCTGAGCTTCTCTGCTGCAGCAAAATCTTGCACTGCCTGAAAAGATTTCTGTTCGTATACTTATAAAATAACAGGGCTAACCCTATGAAATTAAGAAACAAAGCTGTAAAAGAGATTGCTATGCAAGTATTTAATCTTTTTTAAAAAGGAGAGAAGCTATATGTTTCCTTAGAATTGTTTTCTTCTCATTATTTAATTAAAACATTTCAACAGATGTCCTCCCTATCTCCAACACAAATCTCCTCTATACTTTTTTTTTTAGCAGAGGCATATACTTGTTCTCTCTGTAACAAGCTTAATTATTTCTCTTTCTCTCAGGAGTCACTCTTTTCACTCCTGTTTCCATCCCTTCCTAGGGAGTGGAATCAGTATCGTGTGGTGATAGTTCTGTTCATAGCTTGACATCTTCCAGATATATCTTAATTTTAACTGCCTACTGGCTGGGAAATTGAGTCCCAACACATCTGGAAAATGCTGGTTGTTAAAGATAAACTGAGCTATTTGGCCTTCAAAAAAAGATTTTTTTAAAATACATAACTCAGATGGAGACCCTCTAAAGCCCTTGGATAGTAGAACAGATGTTTCAAAATTCAGTAATCATAAGTATAATTTCAGTAAGATACTGAGCTTCCTGTTATCTAGCTACCCCAAGTAGATTATGTGTCATTATAGATACACACACTGTGTCAGTAACATATCTGAAGACATTTAGGAATAAGGCATATTCATGGTGATAATAAAACTCATATGCAAGTTCTTTTTTAAAAGGTGCGTTGCAATGAGTAGGAAATCTTACGAAGCACTTTTCTTTGAATCAGTAAAGCAGCTGGGTTTTTTTCAAAATTTCTATGGCTTGTTTGGAAACAACTGCTCTTAGCTGTGTCTCATCTGTGCATGTGCACCATTATTTAGGTTCATTTTTCTTGCAGGCAGAATCAGAAAGAGCTTGCAAAGCAGCTGGGTGAACCAGGGAAAAGAGGTGACTGCTTTATATGCCCTGTGTCTTCCTGAATAGCACCTCCTTCAAAAGATTTGCACAGTCATAATAAGTTCCTAGCATATTGCATGTCTGTTTAGTTGACCTCTTCAGAGTATAGAGGTTGGGGCAACCTCAGATTGGAGTCATAAAGCATTTAAAGGTCAAATGTCAGGTGCTTAACAGCCTTATATTAATATTGCAAATTGCATTATACCCTACAAAATTCAAGAAAACATGGAAAAGGTAAAGGCTTCTCTAACAGAAGTTATTTCTTTGAACTATTGGAAAATGTTTTAGCTAAACTGTAATTTGTACAATTTAGATTTTATAATGCAATTCCTTAATTGTTTTGCCCTCTCTCTGAAAAAGGAGCTTCCTTCCATCGATGTCTTGTGCTGATTATTAGCGTTTCCTTAGCCTAAGTCACCCTGAAAACAAGCATTTCTCCAATTTCTATCTTGCCCTGAGCAAAATAATGAAGTGAAACAAATGAGATGAATTCTTTGTGGAACTCAGATGTTTGCCTTTGCGACTATAGAGGGCAAGAATATATCCTAGGTACCCAACATGAACACAACTTAGAAGGCAGTGCAGTTCAGCTATAATAGTAGCACTTTCTAAAGTGCTGGTTTATATTTTTTTAATAAATAAAAATGACAACAAAAATGGTTTTAGGATTTTTAAATTATTCTTTGGAATGATTATTGGTACTGTAATAATAATTCTTATTAGGTGTGATTGTAGTCCTGTCTATCATGGATTTTCTTTTCAGAGACTATTGTGCCTGACAATTAGTCACTGCAGATAATTGATGCCTTTTTGTAATAGAAAAAGGATATCTGATGAATTATTTGACATTAGGATATTTTCAATTAGAGCCACAATCATATTGAAATGATTAATATAATAGGTAATATTCATGTATTATTGCAATAATTATGATTTACATCTTAGTGGATATCAGTGCCTGGTGAAATGTTTATTATTAATTTATATATAAATACTATAGAGAACCTCATAAGATGCAAAATGTAGTTCATCCCATTTCAGATTCAGTGTGTTTCACTGGCTGGCTAAAACTACATTTCCAGCACTCTGGATAGTACCTTTTAATGATGAAGTAAACACTGAAAGCTTGAGAGAACTTTTTGATAATTCCGTTTTCAGGGTCCTGTTGCAGGATTATGTGCTCCATGTTTAAAAACAAATATAAATAACATGAGATGAAAAGTTTATAAAAAAGTTTTGAAAAGTGAAAAAATTTGCTTGCTGTCCCATAAATGTCTGAAGTTAGTTCAGTTCCAAAGAAATATTTATCATATAACTATTCAAAAGTCTTTAGGTTGGCTGAGGTTTGTGATCACACTAGTATTTTGGATGTGTTGTTGAGGAATTTGAGAACTATAGGTATATCTGTCACTTTGAATCCTATACCTGAATTTTGAAAAATTGTTGAAAAAATAGCACAGCAAAGGTAAAATACTACCTAGGGGTAACACCTATAGAATTCAGTCTGATACATGCCTAAATTTATGGACATCCATATGACTGTGTTTTTCCAAGTTTTTTAATTATTGTTTTTTACAAATATGCCAATTTCAGTTTCTAATGTTTGCAATAGAATAAATGTTTTTCAAACTGATAATTATTTCAAAAATTTCAAATTATTTGTATTGAGCACAATGTTCCAATATTAGTAATACAGCCTAATATATGCAGCTTTTTGACAAATCCTTTTTTTCATGAAAATGTTTTTATACAGACTTTTGATAGAAGATAGAGACAGAGAAGGAGAGGAGAGATTAGATGGGTGGGTGGGTGGGTGGATAGATAGATAGATGATACGTAGATGAAAGATAGATAGATAGACAGACAGACAGACAGACAGACAGACAGACAGATAGAATGTAAAAGCGTATCTTTCCCCAGAATTGTATGGTAGGTGCAGAAAAAATGCAACTACCATACACAATTTGTAGAACTATAAAGGTTGAATGATTTTATTTCTGTGTTGTTCTGAAAATCCTGGATAAAAAAAAATAGGGTACCTCATGTTTTACATTAAATTGCAAGCAAAATCTCAGGACATGAATTACCAAAAACTCCTAGTTAGATTTCAGGGGGCCAGCAATTGTACAATAGTCTACAACTACAATATTGATCAAATTTCATTGCTAACTAAAACTGTTGTTCTTTCTGGGGGAATATCACAAGGCAACTGTCCAATTATCAACTACATCCTGGAAAGAAATGGTTTGAACCTTTCAAGCCAGCTATGAACTTTCATCATAACCAGAATCTCAAAGGAAAACTAGTACTAGTTCAATGATGCCATGTTCGATCATTCATTCCTCTTACATGAATTGCATGAGAAAGGATAGCGAGATGGGATAGCATATGGTTATATGCCGTCAAGGATAGCAAGATGGGTGGCAAATATATTTAATAAATAAATAAAATAAAAAACTGACAAGCTTCATCTTCTCTCCTTATTCTTCATTTGCCAAAATTGGAATGTAAATTGCATGGTCTTCATGCAGTTCTGAATCCTGGGTTTTTCAATTGTGGGAGAAGTTTACGTAAGTAAAGCAGGATATCCCTACAAATAATTTCCACCCCATGAAGGGTTCCTTGTATGTTCTCCTCTACTTTTGCTAACTTTAAAAAGGGAAGCAGGATAGTACTAAAGTCTCACCTTCTTCAGATCTGTCTGAGATGTCAGTAAAATGATGGGAGAGGATAAAGCAACCTTGCTTCTCAAATCTTTTTATATGGGTGTCCCATCCAGTTTTGTTTGCCATTTTGAGTGAAAAGAACTATCAAGAGTTCTTCTCAAGTTTATTTGAAAAGAACTTTTGCCCTTTATCATGGATCCTGTAAATGAAACTATATTCAGACTTTGCCCTTCCCATCTGCCAAAAAGTCAATAGTTAATTTTAAATAATTTTACTGAAAAGAATGAATGAAAAAGTAGTTCTTTCTTTACCAGAAAAGTTGGAGACTGACATACAGTGATAAAATCTAAGCATAAATATAATAAAGAAGGTTTGTCCACTCTCAGTGCCTTCAGATGTGTTAGAGTACTGCTTCTATCATTTGTATCATTGATTTTGCTATTTGAGATTGTGAGAGTTTTAGTATGATTATACTGGAGACCTCTAGATTGAGAATGTTGTTAATAATGGCAGTACCTTTTTACATTACTAACTCTTTGTGATCTTTTGATATGAACTTCCTTTCCATTTCATTAAAATAAATCTGAGAGTGTTGCAAATATCCCTATGTCCTTTCTGCTAGTTATTGAGATTGCCAGTGCCCATCTCAGTTCTTAAGCAACAGCAAAGCAGATTTTTTTCAAATATAGATTATTTACAATGCTCTTAATCATAAGGAAGCTTTTTAGTACTTATAATGAGCTAAGAATATATCTTCAGTAATGTCTGGCTTTTGACTTTTATATAATAGAAAAAGACAAGCAAGAAAACAAAGAAAAACAAAACAAAAACCCTGCAAGGTGAGAAAGTACACTACTTTTATTCTCAGAAGAGCAACAGAGCTATTAACTATCATCAGGGCTGCCTCTGATGCAGGAGAGAAACTGAAGGAGAAAATAGACCTCTTCTAAGCTAATTTGGTACTACAAATAATGGAAAGAGCTTGCAGATAAGAGTTTTCAAAGTGACCTCATTAATAGGAATTGTATAATAGTAGCTCTACAGACTTGTTAACCTTTATACAATATGTGGAAAATGTTAATGCCTATAATTTCATAACCCTATCACTATCCTTGAGAGATTACTTGATCAATCTGTTCCATGATTTCACAGGAACCTAATTTCAGCACTTCTATAAAGTAAATTACTTTGAGAAGCAGGAAGTTTTTGTATAGCTATCAGACTTAAAGTCCTTTGACATTATTAATTAATGGTCAAGTGTTTTTTACCCAAGTAATCCATTAATGCCATTGTGTGGATGAACCAAATTAGGAATATGGATCAAATTTTTATTTATTTGTAACTTGGAACAAGAATAAGAAACTTCAAAATTACTTTTGCCTCATTAACAGCACTTGGTTAGGTAGTCAATGCTGAAGACTAGAGAATTGTAGGTTCTTGTACGTCTCATATCATTTCAGGTGAGTAAATTTGAATTGGAAAAAAGATTAATATTTATCATTCCACAAAACTGATCCAAATCAATTGCTTTCTATAAAATAAAAATTCTGTTAATTTCATCTGTTATTATCTATTCTTCAAAATGTTTTCAAACACAACTATATTTTATATTATAGTTTCTACAGATCAAATGAATTGGGACCCTTACACAACTCTTTTGGAAGCTGAGAAGATAATTCATAGACTTCCTTGTCTGAAAATGTAAACTACAGTTTCTTGTCAGCTCATAGCATATTTGACTCAATTTGTATGAAGAACTGAATTTACTTTTGGAAATGGAGACCGCCATTCAAAATTTTAAAACATATGTTTAAAACTACACAATTGTCATATTTTTATGGTTTGGACTATAAATGTGTCTCTCCTGGCTAATCATGGTAATTTTTTTTATTTTGATGTCAGATAGCCAATGACTTGTATAATAATATGAAGGACATATTTAAAGCAAAAGAAATACTGTATACAAATGTATATTTGTAAAAGCTATTTTTATGATTAGCATGTTTTATGGTTCATCATATTTACAGTCAGGTGATATTGCACTTAAATGTTTACAGCATAATGAAGAGATCATCAAAAATTTATGAGCCAATATATATTTTAATTATTTTTATTCCTGCTTTAAGGCAAATACATACATTAGTGGGTTATCGAAAAGAACAAATCAATATTTGTCTTTGAAGATTTTTAGTGCATCATTACACTAAAATGGATATAATTTGAAAATATTCTGTATACAATTTCCTGTGATATCAGTAGAAAATTATTATTAATGTCAATATGCCCCAACTTCTATGTTGCTACTCTTAGCTTCAGATAAGCACATTCTGGATAGACTATAGATCAGTATGGTTCAAAAATCTCTTAATACTTTTATGAGGGTTGCCATGTTGTAAAGTTGGCATGTTTGATGCCTGTTTGCTTTCTATTCCACTGAATTGTCTTTTTTGACCTCTTCAGGTAACTGGAAGCTCCAGTTTAACCTATTTTAGCCAGACAGGTAGACAGATACCTTGGTTTCTCTGGGGTTAAATTGCAAAATGAGGGGAGTGCATCATACAGTATAGACTGTTTTTTCAGTCTTGCTTAGAGAACGAGGCTTGAAACTGGACTCTTTCCATGATCATAATTCATATTAATCTGGATAAGGGTAAAATAAGTGTAGTTTTTGTTAACTTGATTAGTAGGACATCATTACCAAATCCAAGCACTTTTCTGAGGGCCCAAAGGAACCATCACACATTCAATCATGTCTACATTTATAGTTAAATAGAAGATGTGTTTGATTTTGGTAAGTGTTCACTGAATGGCTGCCTGGTCTTTCCCTCAAACCTCTTCAAAGGGCTTCAGTGTATTGCTTAGTATTTTCACAAATATTTCTTCAGTCTACATTTTTGGAAATGCAGCTTCCATGAATTCATTGCTACATCATTTTACACATGCAATTCATGAATTATCCAGATCTAGATATCAATTGTAAAGTGCCTCAGTTGACCATTATAGATTTCACAATGCTTGAATGTGACTCTTACAATGTCCATACATAAGGATTCAGGCAGGAATACGCAGTATGTTATCTATAAAGCATCTCTAACTGCAGCATTGTATCTCCAGATTAACGGCTGTGGGAAAAGAACAGCCTGTTGCTCAATTAAACCTGTGAATAAAATGTGAAGCCGCCATCTGCTAAATCTAGCATTAGTTCAGATGCCAGACACTCAAGCTGGAATTTTTTGTAGGCAGAACACATGTTTTACTTGAACTGATAGCTCCTTCACCCTGACCTTCTGTCTCTTGCATTATTACAATGTTTCCATAAAAGCTATCTATTTTCTGTATAAATTATTTTTTTCTCAGTCCATGCAGTGATTATAAAAGTACCAAGAGAAAGAAGAGAATAAGCAGGGTTTGTTTCTGCATCGTTTGCTGTAAGTCTGTACCCAAATACCTTTGCACGCAAGACAAATGCATCCAGAAAAAGAGTTGGAATTTTGATTCTATTATCATAGGAACATTTCCCCTCTGTTTTAAACATATGTATTAAGCTGTGTTGCACTTTGGTTTAGAACAATTCTATGAAATGGGAAAATAATGTTAAGACCATGGAAAATATTATTACTTGAATAAAATATAGGGTTGAACAATACAATTTGGAAGGAGTTTTTCAGAACATGAAGCAACACAAACACAGCTGCTTTAATGAGTTGCAGAACAGAAATAGTTTCAGCTCCCACAAATACCAGAACACTTCATTTAAATTACCGTAAATCCAAAACATGGCACATCCATAAGGGAACTCTACAGCCATTTTTAAAAGCCATGGAGGTTTTCAATAATAGGACAGTATTTGCATTCATCTTCTGAAGATTTTGGTTTTGTGTCAACATTCAAACACAATTTTTTTTCAAATGCTGTAACATAAATTTTACATTCCTGTAAATAAATATTTTCCTTTGATTAATGGATTAATTCTCTTCAATAGTTCTTCTGAAAATACTAATGATGGAAATTAACAGTGGCTCAAAAAAAAATCAGCCTGACATCCAATACTGTAAATTCAAAGCTTTATTCCTGAGTAAACATCTCTTAAGTTTATGCTATGTATTTCTGAAACTTGAGAAAAAATAATACTAATTATCAAAATGGTTGAATCATCTCCATGCTGTAAATCAATTGAAAGGTAACTGCAAATCTGTGCTTAACATCTGGGGTATTATCTAAGTTAGAAAACAATTTTTCTGATAATCATTTATCTTGATACACCTTCAGTGTCAGCAATATCAAAAGGAATTCACAGGCAGGACATCTCAACACATCTTTCAAAAGACTATTATTTCAACAAGCTAAAAAGTCACAACAACTGCAAGACAATGCTACTAAATTTTTTCAGCACCATAAACCATTAAAATTTCAAATAAGACTGACTTTTTATGTCACTTTGATACTATAAATTCTGGGGATGTGCTTTCTAAACAATACTATTTAACTGACGTTAAAAGAAACCAGGCGTTTTGGAATACGAGACTGACAAGAATAATCTTCCATATTAAAAGTTCCCTTTAAGCAGGGTGGCAATTCTTGATAATAAAAGGGAACAAAATGTGGCCCTGGTTGCATTACTCAGAAAACTGAGTATATAAGGAAAAATATCTTGATAGTTATTGAGAAAGCAAGAGTGAATAGAGGTTCCCCCCCCCCCCAATATTGCTGCTAAGGGTGTTCAGTTAGATAATTAAAACAGTTTAAAAGGCTTTATTAGTTAAGAGGCATGAGCTATAATCCTAAATTCTAGCCAAATTCTACTAGAATTACAAAATGCTAGGAAAATCACAGCTGCTTTTGGAAGTTGCAGAGAGATATAACATTCATGTCTCCTGATCGGATAGCTGCAAAATATCTTTTAGCCACTGAGGCCAAAATGTTGCACAGTTGCAGTAGTAATTTCTCACTGTGATATAATGCTTCAAATTGATTACATATTTTTCAATTCTGCATAAGAAACAAATTATATATAGATATAGATATTCCAGATTAATGAATCTTAACATCAATGTACCATATCAAGAAGATGGTAGGTCCAGCAAGCATTGTTATTTAAGGAAGCATTTTGGAGAGTATTGGAAATCCAGGCTAGGTTTTGAAAGCAAACTTGATAAAACCAGTTACACTGATTTCAAGCATGGATCACCTTTTAGACTAGCTCCTCTGATTATCTGCACATTTATGTCAAATTTTCACTTTCTTTTTAAATACAAAATCCACCATGCAGAAAAGTGGCATACCTCCCTTGTCACCATTTTGATTCTGGTCTTGTGTGCAAATTTATTAGGAGCTTTGCTTTTGGTGACCCTGGATTTCTGACATGGTATATAAGAGCAGCAGATCAATAACTCTAGAAGAAATGAGATAGAAGAAAAGTAGCCATGTAATTGTATATGGATGGTTTTGACAAGAAAATTCTATCTAATAGTTTGTCAGATGGAAAGTTCACCAGCTCCTGAACAGCAATTTTTTAAAAAATGCAATCCATTCAGGCAGAATGAGTCATTCTAATGCCAAAGTGAAACAAAAAAAAATGAAATGTACAGTATGTAGTTGCTATCTCTTACTTAGAGCAGAGGTGGAGGACAGATTTGTGGAGTTATTTTCACAATATAAAGAATTGTTGCATATTAATTATTTGCTTTGTTTCATCTAGCAAACTTTGACATCAGTAAAAAATTGAGCTAGCACAGTATCACTATAGCAGCCGGAGTTGCAATTATTTGGTGCTGTTCTGAGCAAGACTTAACTGAAATATTGGAGCAATAAAATATCCAGTGTAGCATTTCAGTGGAAGAGACTGATTAAAGAAAAAAAATGGCTAGGTTTACATACTGTGCCAAGTTTGTACTCTAAATATCTCCACTGATCTGGGGATGGGGGGGGGGAGGGTTAATATTGCATATTTCTAGCACAGATGCTTCTTTTTTTTAATGTTAAACATTTTGATTCCTTGCAAATTTTCAGTTGGTAACATTATAATCTTGTGACATTTGACCATTTTCTGTTATTCCAGCCCACTAAATATATTATTTTAATTACATTAATTTTTTTAATCTAAAATAATTCATCTATGTTAGGGTTCATATGAGCACTGCAATGTTCATTTATGGCTTATCTGGGAATCTTTTAAGTTTTTCATGATTATGTAATGGTCTGTATAAAAGAAAGAAATGCACTAACTTTGCTAAACTCTGCTTTATTATAAGCATGCATAATTGAATTAACCATAATTTCCTGAATATACTGTACAGATCCCATCATATCCCTATTGTGTAAGCCTAGCTACTAGGATGGCTTATCTCCCATCCTGTACCTTCCAACAAAGTTGGTTTGCTTTAGGTGCCATTTATTAAGCAACATCATCCAAGAAGCCCTTGGAGGTAGACATCTCTATTGTTCCACCTGTCACTGTTGAGATTCACCTTGGTCACCAAAACCTGGCTCTTTCCCAGGATATGGATTAAGATGAATTGCTCTTTAAATTGGAGTCAGGTAGGGATGAATGCTTCTTTTTCTTTGAAAGGTTATTGTTTTATAGATGTGTGTTGGTTTGCTTTTATGAAATTGCTGTCCTTTTGCATAAGGGGAGCTGTTCAGAGTCATTTAATA